CCCCAAAACCCCAAAACCCCAAAACCCCACAGCTAAATATTGAGGATTAATATTCTTTAAAAGTTTTATTAATTTTTGAGCTAAATAGAAACTATTAGATTACCTATGATTTGATTCGTGTAAAATATAACTATAATCATTTATAGTTGTCACAGATAATTAAAAGTAGAACTAATATGTAAAACAGAAAATACAAATTGAAAAACAATAACCCACCTCCTAAGATACCAGAAGTTTACTCTGTGTCGCTAAGAGACTTTAACTTATCATAAGATCTAGACTGGCTAGTGGACTTGATTCAGTCTGATCACAAAATGAGTCAGGAGTCCTAAGCCTAGAACTGGATTCAAGAATTTCTGCATCCCTAAACGATCGAAAGCTTTCTTTAAGACCCTTGTGAGACCATCATGAAAATCATATCTGAGCATATTCAAAGACAATCTTTGCCTAAGGTGATTGAGAGTAGTGATAAGATGGTAGGTATGATCTTTGTTTCAAAGCCGCAAACAGGTGTCTTTCTTTTGGAGAAGTTTTACCTAAATTATGTTATGTTGCTATACAAAAAGGAGACTTTGGTCTCACAGATGCTTTTAGATTTTATTCGGTAGGACGAAGCTTATCGCTAGAAACTAAAAGGCTTGTTCTCGAAGCTTAAGACTATATTGTGGAGCTTTAGATACTATTTGGAAAGCATTGAAACATCAGTCTAGAGAGACAGCGGCTTCACTTTGATAAGAAATCAGAGCAAATGTGGTGGCATAGGAATCTATCGAGTATATAAGTTTGTCATCAGCAATCCTATGGTTAATCAAAGGATTGAGTTGTTCAAAGAAGAGTAGGAGCTTCTTGATAAGAAACTTCATGATGGACATCATCATTACAACGAAAGGCCAGTTAAGAAGAAGATAGTAATGTTGAAGGAAGATTTAGAATAGAAAATGAATGAACTTAAGAAGTCTTATTCCCCAAAGAGAGCTAGACATAATCATCAAAATAATCATAATAGAAGTGATAACAAGAGTGTTAACAAAAGTAATACTTCTATAAACAAAGCCCCATCTCTGCCTAACCTTCAAACTCATAGAAATAGTGCTGCTCTCAATAACAATCATCAAAACTAAAGTTTCCAGAGCATTCAGACAACCAAGAGTATTGGATTCAATAAACAGCTCTTTAAAGTTTGGAATTTCGTGCCAAGCATTTAAGAGAGATTTAAGATCTCTTTAAGTACTCACAAAGATAAATTTGATCTCCTTCAAAAGCAAAAGCAAATGCTTATCTCTGATACTTCAAATCAGTTCTATAATAGTCTAGTTGCCTTAAGTAACAGTAAATTAAGTAGTTAATCAAAGAACGTTGAAAATCAAGATAGCATACTTATAGATTAAAAAATTGGACAATTTCAGCAATCGTCTAACGTTTCTTCACAGATACGAAAATTTTAGACTCTAACTCCGAAGACATCATAAATGAATAATCAAGTATCAAGATCATTTTTGCCGAACTCATTTACCTTGACAAATAAAAATAGTGGAATGGCCTTGTAGTCTCTCTAGCAGTCAACGATGGTGATGTCTCCTTAACACTTTAACTCCAAATCAAATCTACCAGATAAAATACCTTCAGCTTAATTCTCAAAACCCTTATCTAGGTAGCTTTCCCTGCAAGTTTTTTAAACTCCAGGACCAGAAGCACTTAATAGAATGAAGATGAAGCCATTACCTTAAAGGAATCATAGTAGGCTTAGCTTGATAGCAAGTGGGATTAGCACCATCAATTAAGATACATAAAGTAAATAAAATCTATATAGGAGTGTAAATGACAGTGAGAGAGAATAAAGACTAATCTAGCATTCGAGAAATCCTTCCTTATAAAGTCATTTAAACAAGTCTGCTCTTGAAAAGTAAAATAGATATTGATTACATGGATTCTTCTCTTATGAGTTAAGAATATTAACAATACCAAATTTAGACTTTCCTAATTGAAATCTTATTTTAAATTCTGAATATATTAATTTTAAACAATATCGGGCAAAAGGGGTTTTGGGGTTTTGGGGAGATCGGAA